AGCTGGCAGAGGCAGAGATTGTTTCTATTGATACACGGATTTACAGAATCATTTTAAATTTTAATAGGGGAAGACTGCAGGAGGGAGCGGTAAAATACAGAGGTCCCTAACAAAAACAAGAAACTTTACGAGTCTGATGAAACCCGCTGGTTTTCCATCAGGCAGTCACGGGGCGGCTCCATCGACCCAGTGACCGAGCTCAGTCGGTACCGACACCGGCTCGGCAGAGGGTGAACGAGCCGAGGCGACGTCGTGCTCTGCTTAAGAAGCGGTGTTATTTTCCTGCTTCAGAAGAAGCGTCCAACGTGTTTTTACGCTTTCTCCGAGACATGTCATGTCGCTAAGTTGTTAGCGCCGCGCGCTAAGGAAACCCTGCGTTCCTCTTCGGAACGAAAACCTCGTTGTCGCTCAGCCGCGGCGAAGCCATGTTTGTTCACACACAAGTGAAAACAAGCGGGGCACTAATACTATGACTCACTCTGATTGGTTAAGGGTCAAACAAAGGCGTGTCATTCGCCTGGGGTAAGTTCCCTTTTCATTCAGAGGCAGAAATTCAGCTGTGAATCGTGATAAAACGGTCTCTCAAAAATGACAGACCGTCAGATGTGTAGATCGTAAAACGGTCTAAAATCGTCATATCGCCCAGCCCTAACTCCAACACAGAGACTTTTAAACCAGTCAGAACATCCTGTATCAAGAAGGCGTGTTTCTGAGTTGTCTTGGTAACATCTCAAACTTGTCAGCCTTTGATTGGCTATGCAAGTCATAACATCAAAACCTTAAAACTGGATCATCCTGAGTGATTCGACAGTTCTAGAGAATCGCTCATACCATCTGTAGCAAAATCTCTTTAACCATCAAAGATTTTGACATGTCGTCAAAACCTTTTTGCACCTGCAAAGCTGATGAGCAAACAGTTCCTGCAGAAACAAAGCTGATATTGTTAGACTCCTTAAGAGTCCGCCAGACGCACGGTTCCATCCAGCTGTTGTGACCCGAGACATCTCTGGACTGAAGAGTCGGTACCACGGTATTCTGCAGCCCTCCGGTGCCAGAGCTCGGCCGACCCCTGCGACTTTCGGATCCACCAAGAGGGTCTCTCCAAAATGGGTGAAATAGACATGACAGATAGCGTCTGCTGTTCTTCTGATAATAACTTTATAGCTTAGAGCAAACCAAATTTTGATAGGGAAGCTCTGACTGACATTGCATTCACACATAGGTTCCTTCATCACGTTTAGTTACATCCACTCACAGTAAATGCTTAGTTAATTAGTCATGTTTTAAATTGTTTGTAAAATAAATTCCTACTTTTATAAACCTGACTCTTTCTTGAAGTAACACGAAGTGTGGTTGATCACTGAAAAAGCAAAGAACCTAGATCTTCTGAATTAAATCCTAGAATCTTCTGATTAATTACAATAAAGACCTAGCAGATTAATATTTTATATTTATATAGAATATTACATCTTCCTGGTCATAACAAATAAAAATCATCGATTTGCCTACGCTACAATTGATTGATGTGCCTCTCTGCTTGTGAGTAACCCAACTAGGTCTCTGTGCAGAATTAAACAGAGGGAGTCTGGCAGGCCAGGCTAATTCTTTAGAGCAACATAAGTTCTTTTCTTGGTTTTTCAGATGCTGGTGACCATTCTGGAGGATGAAAGACAGACGAGGTTGCAAGCTGTGCTCACGAAGCCAGGGAACTGATGGCAGAAGACCCCATCCCATCAACACTTCAAACTGAAGGATCTTGTTAAAAGCCACGGGAGAGAACTTAAAGGGAAAGACTTCAGCATCAACGACCAGTTTCCTTTGAAGTCCTAGAGCGCCGCAGAGTCCTCTTTCCACTGCGTAAAAAGTTAATCCAGGATGGGAGCCTGGCTGTCATCACCGTGGACAAGCTCTACATGAACAACAAGCTGTACAAGGAGCAAGGAGTGATCGACTGGCTCTATTAGCCCAATATCAGGTCACAAACGTATTATTCTTATCAGATTCACTGGGTTACGTCACGGGCGTCAGTCCAAGCAAGGCACTCACAGTATCTTCTATCTAGCAAAGCCATAGACGTAGATGGACCCAACAAGCCATTCCTCCCCATTCCCGCACATTTCTCTCCTCCTGCTCCCTCACATCATCACACAAACATGCACATAGGACCTTGGGGGGTGGACAAGTCAGGGAGTGCGGGTATGGACCCCATTTCCGCATTCCTGTGGCAACCTGGTCGCCAATTTTATTTGCACCTTAAACACTTCCACCAACGACATTCCACGCAAACACACACTTAGGGCCTTGGGAGTGAGCACATTCAACAGCAGTTGGCAGGGGGGTTTCTCAGCCTCATCCCAAGTGCCAGTGTCCACTTCCAATTTTAAACTGCACTTAGACACCGAGGGCTCTGGGTGCAAGTGGGGTGGTGTGGTGGCATCAGCTGGCATAGGCCCGCACTGCCCGCTCACCACAGCCACCTCCCATTTTTCTTCCATATAAATATTGTCCAATATTTATATGTCGATGGTCTGAATCCACGTGAAGGATACTTGTAAGAGCGCATTTTGAGGTCGATGACATCACAGCGCAGCGACGAGTACTGTCCGAATTCCAAGAATACTCATGCTTGCGTCCTCAAATGCGTCCTCGCTCTGCCCACATTTTGAGGATGGATCTGTTGTATCCTCACAGAACAAGGCTATCCCAGCATGCTTTGCGTGCCGGCTGTGGATTTTCAACAGGAAGAGAAAATGGGGAGAGCTACGAAGTTTTAAACGTGAGTTTGTTAAGAACTAGCCGTAGAAACCTAAAAAGCTTAAAGCGGTTCAGTTTATAAACATTTTTCATTTGCATATTTGTTTATTAAATTACATTTTAGGCAGAAATCAGCCAGAACGAGTTTGTTTTGCGGGTCCCAGTTATTCCTGTGTGTGTGGCAAATTAAACTTGTCATTTGTTTTAAGGACAACGGAGCAAAGAAGCGTTTTTATTAAGCTTAGAGGTGAAGAGTGACGCTGTTTACACACAACCACAGAAGTTCTGCTGTGAAAAGTAGTTTTACATTCAGGGATTTACACAGCTGACACGTTATAATGAAGTAAAAAGTTTGTGTGAAGAATATAATTTTTATCTTCTCATGTGGATAAATGTAAAAATGTGTTTATTGCCTTTTTGTCACCTGTGGTCTGATTTTCTCTGTAGGACTGCAGGTGTCCAGGGTCAGGAGAGGCTTTACCTGGTGGTCCTGCTGGGAGAGAGGCCTTCTACTGTCATCATGTTGATGTTATTTAGCTGTTTGATATTTGAACACGTTTACTAAAACAAATACTAACTGATAACTCTTTCTGGTCATTGATTTTATCACCAGTTTTATTATTACAGATGTTTTTGAACAAGTTACATTAACAGAAAATGAAAAGATTTTAAGGAGACAAGATTATTTATAATACGTTACACTTATTTACAGATCAAAACCAGTATGGACCAATTATGTACGGTTAAAGCAGGATTAACCTGAGTGACTCTTCCTGGATCATTTATTTAAACTGAGTGAGCAGGAAGTCTTTAACAGGGCAGCTGGATCTGCTGCAGGAGGATCCAGACGTGGATGGAGGGCTGGAGCAGACCTGTGGCTGGACGTTTCTGGCCAGAGGAACATCATACAGGACGGTCTGCAGAGAGAGCTTTGGGACGCTTCCTCTCACTGTCCACTCCATCGTCCATCTACAGGGCCTGCTGGGCTGGCTCAGACGACGGCTGTTAAATCTCTGATATATTCAGAAATATGAAATGAGGAGATGGTTTATGGATCCACTGGTATAACAATTGTGACTCTTCAGCAAATAAAACCACAGTGTTGTTTTTAATAGAGGTTCCTACATAAATGACTTGCCTGTTAAAAGCAGTGGTGGTCTGCTGGGACCTCCTCCAGGACAGAGCACCACTGACCTCCTCCACACACATCTTCCTCAGGCTCATCCTCCAGACCCACAACTTCACCAGCACAGAGGCAGATGTGCAGCACAGTTCATGCTGACTTGTAATAGATTAAAAAATATTTTTTTTAAATTGAAAAATGTAAAGCAAACCTATAACACTGATTCTGTTCAGTTTAAAGAAAAGCAGCAGGAAAAACTACAGAGAATTTACATTTTAAGACAAATCTAATCATTATTAGGCTTAAGTTGAATAAACAAATGCACATTGAAAACACATCAATGCTATTTTATTAAAAAGCCTGTTTTTTAAAAACATTTTACCGCATTTGATGCTAAATAAGAAGTTCTAAGGTCCAATTTACATTAGAAAACATCCTACTGCATTTAACATTTATAATACATTTGGTTTATATTAATTACCTACACAATAATACTCTGTACAAATGTGTTGTGTACGTTTAACAAGTTCATTCTGTAGCTTAAAACATACATGAAACCATCTAAAGTTAACATGTAAGTCCTGAAAGCTTCTAGAATAAACAAAGTTACTTTACCTGAAAACGGTTGTGAACAAACGCTGCTGATGGACGTGAAGCTGCTGTAGCTCCTTAATATTCCTGCTCCATTTTCGCTAGCTTTAGCATTTTTCCTTTGCGTGTAGCTGCCGCCACGGCTGGGACGGGACCTACGGGTCACCGTAGAGGTGAAGGCTAGACTGTCCGAATTCAGAGCCGCTGGGTTTCGGTCTTAGACGGGCGAGGACCCGTGCTCATAAGCATTATACCCGTGGATTCGGACATCCTATGATCCACGATTCCAAATCATACTGGAAGCGACCATCGACATTTGGAAGCGACCCATTACCCGGAAGCAGATAGGCGTGACTTGGGCGCCACACACAAACCCTACGCTCTCTGCTGTCCTGGCGGAGAGTTGCTCCACAACGGTGACACCAACTGGGAAGGAAAGTCTCTGCGTGTGCATGTGAGTGCAAACTTACTGAGTGACGGACAAGTATAAACTCGGCTTTACACGCACACCAAGGCCAAAGTTGCACCTTACCCCGGTTGAGACGCGGACCGCGGTGGGGAGGGATCGGACAGCCGTTGGGGGTCTTCCTAGGCCGGCGACCACAAAGCTCCGACTTGGTGGTCTACCCACGCTGGAAGGTGGTCGTTGGTTCGCCATACCTAAAGCAATGAAGTCATTAACGCCAAATAAAGCAAACTGTTGCCTTTATCTACATGTTGACACGGGTTATGCTAACTTATCCTTAAATTTACCCCTAAAATAGCTCATTTAAGTGTTTAGCAAAGCCAGGCACGGCTGACGACCAAAATGGTAGCTTTTGATTAAGTTTTACTTACCGTATCAGAATTCAATCGTTTTACTTCAGGTCAGAGATTTCGTCAGAACGGGTAGTCTTAAGCGCCTGCAGGAAATGCAGGTGATCATGCGTGTTGCTTCAACACAACTCCTGTAACATCATTAATGTTTGACTTATAACCTATCCTTTTGCTGGTGCGCTTGTTTATTTCCCACTAATCTTTCTGAAGCTACGCCGACAAGCTAACGGAAAGCTAAGAGACGCTATGCGCCCGAGATGTCGTTACTGGGGCAACCACCGTGTGCCTCTTTTGGAATAGTAGTACGTTCAAGGAAGGTCTCGCGTTTCTCAACTCTGATTTGCTATCAGGGCTATGTATTAGCCAATCGTATTAGGGCTACCCATACGATTGGCTGTTTCATTTAGCATCAGTCTTCTCGCTCGAGCAGGTTCCGAACAGATGGACGCCGCGTGCGTCATTGGAATTCTAGGATGTCAAAGGAAGATCCCGCCTTTCTCGTCTCTGATTGGCTGGAAAGGCTCTACTACGATTGGCTGTTTCATTTAACAGCTGTCCTCGCTAAGTGCTGACTGTGTCCTGCCACCAGCAGAAAGCTGTTTTGGGAAGTTTAGTAAAGAAAATGTGAACTTAGTGCTATAATAAACATTCTGTCCTGGTTTGCACAATATTTAATGTTTTATGTTTCATAAAAAAACAGAAAAACTTAAAATGTAAATTTCAGGGCTGCAGCAATCGAATATTTTTGTAATCGAGTACTCTATCTAATCTTTTATCGATAAATCGAGTACTCTAATAAATTACCCTTTTGTGTTTGTAAACCATTATATCAAATAGCATGTTATAAAATATGAAAGACCTCTTAAAATGAGCAAGCAATTGCCAGTTATTCTTCAAGTTTTATTCAAAATTAGTTTTCAAAACTTCAACTTTACTTCACAGTAAACAAATGCCTGTGCAAAAAATAACTTTACAACCTGAGCCGATTTTCCCCTTGCGGCGAGAATCTACCAGCACCAGAACCGCTCACGGCGCATGCGCAAACACGTCCGTTTTAAATGGTAAATGGTAAATGGCCTGTATTTGATATAGCGCCTTCCGGAGTCCTGGAACCCCCCAAGGCGCTTTACAACACAGTCAGTCATTCATCCATTCACACACACATTCACACACTGGTGGGGACGAGCTACAATGTAGCCACAGCTGCTCTGGGGCACACTGACAGAGGCGAGGCTGCTGAGCACTGGCGCCACCGGTCCCTCCGACCACCACCAGCAGGCAATGTGGGCTAAGTGTCTTGCCCAAGGACACAACCACAGCGACAGACTGAGCGGGGCTCGAACCTGCAACCTTCCAATTACGGGGCGAGCACTTAACTCCTGTGCCACCGTCGCCCCATTTTAATTTCTACACTTTTTTCTCACACAATAACAAGGATTGTCGAAAAAGCATGTTTGCCGTGGTTATGCCAAATTATACTGATCACAAAACATTTATTTATTTAGTTTTCCTCCGCCACTCTTAAATACCTGTGTCCTCCTGCAGCAATCCTGAGGGACAACAGAGACATCAATAACAACACAATAAAAAGTATGACGTGTTGTGTAAAAAATGCTATTTTTAGCACATTTTTAGGTCCGACGTGTTTCTTCCAGACGCACAGTGTGAGCTAAAACTGAGTGCTACAAACGAAAAAGTCGCACAGTGTCCGCAGAATATATAGCGGACCTCCAAGTCCGCTTGCAGAAGTGACATTTACATGTGGATGTTTCGTGGTCCGGTGCTGCAGCATCAAGGATTTGGTGTGGTAGGCTAAATCCATTTTCCAGAATTTACACTGGACTACGTTTTCCACCTTATGAAGTGAAAAATTGTCCCACACCTTTGACATTTTCTGTCTTTTTTGCAGTCCACCGAGGTCCACGTTGTCCGCCATGGCTTAAGAGAAAGTTGTTACATTCACTACTTGCGTGTGCATTCAGTGCATGCAGTGTGTATGTGCGTCACTTATTTCAGTCCAGGTGAAACATGACCCTAGGCGATTGCAAAGCCATGAATGAATTAAACATGAAATTAAACGAAGCCTCGAGGCAGAGAATTTGACTCGAGGCTTTTTGTACTCGAATTATTCGAGGTACTCGGGGAATCGTTTCAGCCCTAGCAAATTTTAAATCTTGTTGCATTTATCAAACTGTTGGACTTTATATCTCTTGGCTCTGAAGCAGAGTACATAGGATAAACATATGTGCCTTACCTGGTTATGACATTTAATACAACTGCCCTATTCTGCCCAACTGTGTGCATCAGGTCTGTTTCTTATCTAGAATAATGAAAACTGGTAAAAAATAGGTCTAAATCATAATCAGCTGTAACTTAATTTCTGATTAAATGATATACATTTAATCTGATTATGAGAGATGTGCTCTTAACTTGTAAACAGCCTTAACCTATTAAAGCAGGATAGCCTACTAATGAAGTAATAAGAAGATAACCCCAATAGAGCCAACAGATATAAAGTCAGTCTACAGTGTGATAAAACAAGGTTTATTAAGTTCACATCTGATGTTTTTCAGGCTCTGTTATGAAAGAAACTGAACCTGGTTTGTTGCTAAACAGGAAAGGATGTTTATTATAGTGATGAGTTCACATTTTCTTTCAAAAACTCCTCAAGATCTGGCTGCAAACATAAAAACATGCAGCGAGGGAAAACCAGAGCTGTAGAAAGAGAGTTGCGACATTCCAATAGACATCTATGGAAAGAACGGAATGCGAAAGTCACGTGGTTCATGTAGCTTCGAATAGTTCCAAACAGCCCCCGCTGCTGCAATGACCGCAGTTCATTTTCGGTGTTTCGGAAGGATTTTCTCCGGTAAGTTGATGAAATGTCATCATTTTTTTTCCATTGTGAAGCGTTAGCTAACCACTTCGTACCAAACTAAGCCATCAATGATATTTTATGTTGCCAGTTTTTGCTAGATAACCTTTAATGAGCTAATTGTGTGCAGCTTGTTGATTGTGAGGAGGGTTTAGACAAGCTTGACGAGCTGCAGACGGGTTTATTTCAGTTTGTTGGTTTCTACGTTTTAAAAATATTCCCCACAGTTTGAAATAGGTTCTAAACTTTTTACATTAGTTTTATTTTGGGATTTCTTTGTACAATATAGGGCTGCACCTGCGATATTCGATAACAGTGCTTAATATTGCGATATCGATATTACTCACGATAAATGAACAAATACTAAAGTATGCAGTGTTGATGTCGTCTGGCGTGTGACGTCTGCTCTGGGTTCAAAGCAAACAAAAACTAATGCATGAATTCCATTACAACATAACATTTTTATTGAAAAATATGCAGCTGCACCTGCTACTGTATTAGCAGCTGCACCTGCTACTGTATTAGCAGCAAAACAACAAACTGCATGCATGCAGTTTCTCAGTGACTTTAAAACATCACCTCCACCATAAAACTTTTTCTGATGCTCCAAATACAGAAAAACATCCCTTTCCAGGGTTTTTGAATAAATAAAAATATCTGAAAATAAGTTTAAATGTTAAATAATAGTTAACATCACTTAAATGCAACAGCAAATTCTCTCATTGCTACTGAACATTTTCTCCACTTATGTGGTTATGATATAAGGCTGTTGCTGTAACTGGGAAGTGAACTGTGCTGGACCAAACTAGGAGAATATTAAGATTTTTTGAGGGAAAGAGAAAAACATTTGTCTACCTTTCAGAAGAGGAACTGGCAAAAATCTACATGGAAAATATGTGAAAACGTTTGGTTTTAACCCCAAATTGAACAAGTTTACCTAGATCTTAAAAAGCTGCTCAGATGATGAAACTGCAACTATGATTCTGGTAACAAGCTAACAAATTGAACTAAGATAACCGGCTAGCAGAGCTTCTGACTGACAGTTTATGTGTAGCAGCAAATCAACTATCCTGATTAACAAGGTTATAAAAGCTCATAAAGGAAAAATCACTTTGATGTGTGGGGGAACTTTTCCAGGCCCTCTTTAGCAGGGTGGGACTGGGAGGAGAGTGCTGTAGCCTTTTAGCTGGAAGCTAACTGGAGCCTGGGGCTAACATCACCACCCGGTGGAACACTAGCGACATGAAGGTGGGTTGGTTCACCGGCACGTGTCGGAGTAAGCCCGGTAAAAATGATTAACGACACCGAGCGGACTCACGTTCACATTTGAAAGCAGCGCTGAATCCAGAAACCTCAGCACAAAGTGCGTTCGTTGCTCTGAGCCAGCATGACGAACAAGGGAACGGCGCCGCTTACTCAGTTCGGGTATGTTGCCTACTTGCTACCGATTTGCTAACATTCTTTAATATTTTTATATTTAAGTTGAAAACATGAACTGCTGTAACACAAATTTCAAATGTTCTAGATGAGCACTTGTTTCTAATCAACTAATCATTATTTCTGTGATTAGTCAGCATTTTTTCTTTTCAATAAACACATGGAAAAATTACAATTATCTTACTGAAAAAATGGTTTAACAGTGTTGCACATGTATACTTATCTGCACTGGTTTTGATAGTTACGGCATTCTTCAAACTATAATAATAAAATAAAGTGAAAAGATATTTAGAAGAAGAAGAAAATTTCATTTCTATAGCGCCTCTCAAGATAAAAATCATGAGGCGCTTCACAAAAACAAAAAATGTAAAAATTAGAAAAAAAGCATTTTGAAAATGTTTAAAAATATATTTAAAATGAGCAAGAATAAGCAATTGCGATTTAAAAGAAAAAATGTTAAGAAAGAGAGAGAGTGAATAGGAAAGAGAGAAATCAGTGGATCCCGAGGAAGGTGGAATAGGTGGGGAGAGCAGAATAAAGAGAGAGTGGTGAAGAAGGTCATCCAAAAGCCAGCTTGAACAAGTGAGTCTTCAGCTGCTTTTTAAAGGAGACCACTGAGTCCACTGATCTCAGGCTCAGGGGGAGAGAGTTCCAGAGTCTGGGGGCCACAGCAGCAAATGATCTGTCACCTTTGACCTTTAGCCTGGTGCTGCACAACCAGTAGGCTTTGATCACTGGACCTCAGGGACCTGCTGGGGGTGTAGGGACTAAGAAGATCACCAATGTAAGATGGTGCTTGTCCATGTAAGGCCCTATAGACCAGAACCAGGATCTTGAAATGAACCCTGAAGTTGACTGGCAGCCAGTGAAGCTGGAGGAGAAGCGGGGTGATGTGGGTGTGTTTGGAGGACTTGGTCAGAAGCCGAGCACAGGCATTCTGAACCACCTGTAGACGGTTCAGGGAGGTTCTGCTCAGACACGTGAAAAGAGAGTTACAGTAGTCTAAGCGTGAGGAGATGGAGGTGTGGAGAACTGTCTCAAGTTCAGAGCGGGACAGAATGGGACTCAGCTTAGCAACGTTCCTGAGATGGAAGAACAACGAGCGAACAAGAGAACTGACATGAGAATCCAGGGAGAGAGCTGGGTCAAAGGT